GTGTGTGTGTGTGTGTGTGTGTGTGTGTGTGTGTAGTAGCAGAGCTTGTTCTCATAACAGCCGGCGGCGGCTGAAGGCGTGGTGAGTGTGCGCTCCGGTAGTAACCGGATGATGAGCTTGGGCAGCGGCTGCTCGGCGGCGGCGGTAGTGGTGGCTCTCCTCCGCTGACAAAGCTGAACCCGCCCCGAGTGGGCCGGATCGGATCGACAGCATGCCGGAGAGTCTCTGCCTGCATCACCGCCTCGGAAGCCGGGATACAGCCTAAAAGGAGTGCCAAGGTAAGTCCGAAGCGCCTCAGCTCTGTCACACACACAGACAAAAAGTCTGAGCGCTGATGCGTGCAGACAGGATCAATAGGCAACCAGTGAAAATCACAACTGCATACAATCTGCGTGCTTTTCCCCAGCCGCTGGGTTTCCTGACTCAAACACAAAAAGAAGCTTTTGTTTGACATGTGGGGCTCAGGTGGAACCCACCCATGATGTACAGTAACCTACAGTAGCTCTCTCATTGTTCTCCCGGCACGGTGTGGCCCTGTGGGCTCCATCACTGCTCATTTCAGCTGATAAGTCAGATTCCTGGAAATATGCTGGGAGAAATAAATGAAAGCTGTAAAAGCTACACTAGAGTGAGTCATGTGGCATGATCTGTAGATTCAGGAAGAGAGTGCTGCTGTATGATGAAAACCCTGACTGGAACCTGGTCTGACCCTCAACCCTGCCTGTTGAAAGGGGCTTTATTTTATGGCTGCTCTCATGCTAATGTGATTTTGTTTCAGGACACTAACTGGATGTTAAAGAGATAGTTCACACAATTTGAAGTTGGGTTCAGAGGAAAAAATTGTGAACAATTAATATCTTACCTGTTGGAGATGGCTCACAAAACAACTTAGTTTGGAGAGAGTTCATACATGTTGGCTCATTTGCACATTTACCTGTATAATGACCATGAGAAATATATAAATTTCACAAAAAATCGGTAGTAGCCTATTCTCTCTAGATACAGGGTGGGGTTGTGGGCGGGGTTTGGCAGCATCTGCGGCAAAGCAGGTACAGCTTAGTTCAGGGGTGTCAAACTCATTTTCACCACAGGCCACGTGAGTGTGCTGGTGGCCCTCAAATGGCCAGTTGTAATTACCTTTGATGTTTTATGTTTAACTTTGACTAAACATGAAACATCACTCTCATTACTGAACACCTCTAGCAAACAATAACTGAGATCTAAGTGGCATTTCCTGCAAAGAGACAGAGTTTAAACTCTAACGTGTACAAAGGACTGAAAGAAATAGTACAGAAAGGGGTGTTAGAGTTTAAATTTATGACCTGTAAGTGGGAAGTTCCCAGTTCCCAGTGCAACTGGGTCGTAGCAAAAGTGGCCGGCATAAATCCAGTGAAATGGAGAATCGCGGATTTTGCTGTCTGCTGGCTACTTTTGAACCTGTGTACCTCCACCTAGTGGTGGGATGTCATTATTTTGCGAGTTAAACAATCAACATGCATTATGGGAGATGTAGTTTATGCTCAATGTTGGCTTAAAAAAGAAGCATGCACTTATTTTAAGAGAATATTACATCTTTGAAGCTCTTGCTGGCCTTTTTGACACACAATCTATTGGCAGGAGGATGAGGAGGAGATAAACGTAGGCTCTGAGATGTTAAACAGAAGCTGAGTTTTTGAAAATTCACATATTTTCTCTATACATCTGTATGCATGTAAAATGGGGAAAAAATCTGTGTAATTTAAACAATTTGTACAATTTGATGTATGGAAGTTCACCAAATTGATGAGCTGAAGGTGATGTCTCATTAGGGTCGCAAGATTACGGTAGAACAGGGGAGGTTTTAGTTGAAATCTTAAAAAAAATTGTGTGTTGTCATGAGGCTGTGTTTTGAGCAAACATGGCTTAAATTCATGTGCACAGCTTACCAAAATGTACTTTTGGCCTGATTATTTTGATGTGTAACTTCGCCCACTTTGTTGTTTTACTTTGTACCAAAATTGGCAGCTGCCTCACTGATCTACTCTGCTGGAGTACACTTTTAAAATGAAGATAGGCAGATTCTTACACCTTTTTTTTCAGAAATCATATCATCAACGTGGACATAATTGGATGTTTTCTATTAAATGACACGCAGGTGTCAAATCACAGCTTGCAGTGCGTCTAGGAAGCATTTGTGACAGAATGGAGAAGGGTTGGAGATCCCTGGAACAATTATTTTGAGAAAAAAAAATTGTGTTGCACTACTTTTCGAAACATGTTTAAAACTCAAGTGACAACATTACAAGTTAACGAGACCAATGCAAGGAAATTAAGAACCCCCATCAGCATTATGAGACAGTTTGAAGACTCTTTGCAAATGGTGTTTACCAACAGTTGCATCCCAGTGTCTCCAACTAAGACACACAAAAGCAAGAAAATACATAAATGTTTACCTGAAATGACAGCGAGTAACATGTCTGCACCAACTCCTGGAGCTTATTGGACCATAATCCACCAAGAGTTTGTGTATATATTGACAACAAAATAAAGCTGTAGCTTTTTAGAATTATAGGAAGTAAATTGAATTCCTGGGACACTAGAATAAAGTTATTGGACTCACACAAGACAATTGAGAACCCTGGTGAAGATTTCAAACTGCTTTTGTGGAATCTCCCTCATAAATACCATTCATCCACTACTTGCAGCCCTTTGAGGTAATATCTTAACAAATACTCTGACTATGCTAAAACCAAATTGTGCTGCTGCCAACTTAAAATCACTCAGATGTTACAAATTTCAAAGCAGTTCATGGGAAAGTTATTGTAAAACCTTGTTAACCCCAGGAATATCTGTAAGCAGAAATAGTTGCAGCGGCGACTAACTATAGCATTTTCAGCAAAGCTTTGGGACACTTCCAGTCGGAACTTCAGGGCATTGCCATTGAAATAACAGAGTAAAGCAAAACTGATGACAGTATAATAGTTTAAAAATTGTATTTGAACAAACCACTATAAACTCTTTGAGATTGGAGTTGTCTTAGGATGACTAAACCTACTTTACGGGTGGGCTTGCTTGGATCATATTCACAAAGACTCATTTAACTAGAAGGGTCAGGACGTCCTGTTTGGTTTTCCAATGCCTTCTTTCAGATGGCGATGTCTCAGGACACTGTGTCGATCTTCAGATTTGCAGACGTTATTATTTTTCCTTATCCTGCGTAAATTTTGGAAACTTCCGTAAACTTTTTAAGCGGCAGAGGAGGTGACCGCAATTATTTTATGGAGCCAGAGGAAGACACATAAAGAATAAATTGCACCATCACAATCTCTGGTCCTGGTCTGTTTGTAACTTGTTAATGCCTACGTAAGTTCAGATAGGACCTATTTGAAGCAATCCACTTCGGTCTTAGCTTTAATCAGGCTAGCCGTTAGCTCAGTCAGGTCAAAATTTTTTTTTCCAAACTGAGGTTGTTCAAAGAGCTATCTGCAACAGACAATATACAGATTGGTTAGGACTTTCATTACAGAACCTTACTCTTTTTTTAAACCTCTTGTTAATTAAAGCTGCACACGACCAGCAAAGTGTTTTGTTTCTTGTAGATGTTTTTGGTTCCTAAACTCCTCTTTTGCTTCAAAAAGACACAAACTAGGCAGGACGGGAGCCACTGAGGTTGACATTGACCTGCAGGTTCCTCCTGCTGTTTTCTTAGAGCTGAAGGAAGAGACAGACAGCAGCGGGTGTATTTTAAGCACCAAACCGTGTAAACAGGAATCGTCGTGTGATGGCTGCGTCTGCATGAAAAAACATGTCCAGCACGAAACTTTACAGCTCTTCCTCTTTGTCGCAGAGGATGTCCTGTGTCATTTGTCTTCACCGCTGACACCTCGTTCATTTCTGACAAAAAAAGGACTAAGAGGTATTAAAGGCTTAGCTTTGCTTTAAATTCTCCTTTTCACTATATTTTGGCACATCCTTAGAGTCCAGAAGCTCCTATATTTGCTTGATGATGCTGAGAAATGTCTCGCTGAGTTGAAAACTTCCCATTTAGCATCTAAAGTCTTTGAGGCTTTATGAAAGAATTTGCTAAAGACAGAGAGGAAGGGATTTATATTTGGATGTGCAAGTAATCTTGTATTGGCATACCGGCATGAGGGGGCAAATCTGATAACTCTAATAATGTGAAATGTGATAGCAGAGCTGTGTGAAACAGCTTAGCAGGATCTGAAGTCTTATTCATATGCAGCTGTGCTGAAAAAAAACATTGTTGAACAATAATTTCTCAAATGTCATTTAAGCCTTCAATGAAAATAAAGAGACTAGATCCAACATGGTGATATTTTTGATATTAAGCGACGTGATGCATGTGCTTTTATTCTTCGTCCACAACGTGTTGTTTAGCCACGTTCCGTTGTTTTTTTTAATCCTTCCCCAGCAGTGCCTTGGTTCGGCCTCCCTGAGCTCTGCAGAAAGTCACTGCAGCACTTTGAAATGAAACTGCAGCGATTGTTATCAGGGTTTTCACCGGTGACAGCCTTTAAATCTGTAAAACTGAAGAACTCGTGGCAACGCTCGCAAAAAACTGGAAACGTGCAGATTATAGAAGAGTCCTGGCTCTGCTGCTGCATTTAAACAGATTTTATGATATCTTTAACTAAAGTATCTTGATCTTTTAGTGTTCTCATTAACCTTTGGATCAGGCTACCTTTAGACAAGATTGATTTTTCAGATTTTTTAAAGAACTATCAGATTAGGAGACTAAATAGAAGTCGCTTTAATTTGAGCTGTAAGTTAAAAAGTGACCAGACTAACCCTTTAACTGGTGGCATTCCTGTTCCACTCACTCAGGCTGTCTCAGTTTCAGGGACTGCCGTCCACTGTAGTGTGCATTTGTAGGCTGAAGACTAAAGAATTTGTTGTTTTGCAACTTAGCTGATGAAATTAATTCTGCGTTGTTAAAGGGATCCATGATTAGTTGTAACACTTTATTTGATAAACATACATTTTAACTGTAAAATAAAGACTGTAAAAATACTGCAGGATGTTCAGTTTAGTAAATTTTTCAAGATATATTTTAACACGAACTGAGCTATTTTATTTACACACAAAGCATTCTGGGTAAATGATGACGTCGACACGTCATCGGTGCGAGGCTGCTAGCGAGCTATATCCACCCTGAAGGTTAATCTTGGACAATATCTGACGATTGGCTCTTTTAAATGAAACCAGAGAGCGTTGACAGAGAGGAGAAGGTAGAAATGACTCAGCCTGCGACTGAAAATATGGATGGAGGACCTCAGAG